ACTTATCTCCAGTGAGACTGGCCTTTATCAAAAAGTCCCAAAACAATAAATGTTCGCATGGATGCGGGGAGATAGGAACACTCATACACTGCTGGTGGGACTGCAAACTAGTCCAACCTCTGTGGAAAGCAATCTGGAGATATCTTAAAGAGATACAAGTGGAAGTGCCATTCGATCCAGCAATCCCATTACCGGGCATCTACCCAAAAGAACAAATGATACTCCATAAGAAAGACATCGGCACCCGAATGTTTATACCAGCACAATTCACAATTGCAAAGATGTGGAAACAACCCAAGTGTCCGTCAATACAGGAGTGGATTAATAAAATGTGGTATATGTATATCATGGGGTACTATCCAGCTTTAAGAAACAATGGTGATATAGCACCTCTTATATACTCCTGGAAAGCGCTGGAACACATTTTACTAAGCGAGGTATCCCAAGAATGGAAAAACAAGCACCACATGTACTCACCATCAAATTGGTATTAACTGATCAACACATAAGTGCACATGTAAGAATAACATTTATTTCATGTTGGGCAGGGGGGAGGGGGGAGGGGGAAGGTGGAAGAGGGAGGAGGCTTCAGATATATGCATACACAAAGAGTGCAATGAGCACCATCCGAAGGATGGACATATTTGAAATTCGGACTTGGGGGGGAAGGACAACATATGTAACCTAAACATCTGTACCCCCATAATATTCTGAAATAAAAAAATAATAAATTATATGGTAATAACAGAAAATGTGCAGGATATAATAGAGTTAAATATTTACAAGAGTTTTAAGTGTAAATAAGAATCACCTTGAAATCGTTTGTATTAAATTAAGGACTCATTGTTAATTTCTATTGAAAATTCTAAATAAACTATACTAAGAGATGAAACAAAAATGTTAAGAGGGGTGAGACAATAGAATAAAAATTACTCATTAATACAAACAAAGATAGTAAAGAAGGAGGAATGAAGAATTAAAGAACAAATTGGGTAAATAGAAAACAAATAACAAACGAGAGAAATAGGAAGATAACAACAAGTCAAGCCCTTGATTTTGTAATTTTATGATACATACATCTGGCAAAGGACTCATAGTCATGGTATATGAGAAATTCTTAAAAGAGATATTAAAAAGATAATAAGCTCAAAGAAATGTTCAAAAGTCTTGAACACTTTATGAAAGAGGATACCAACTTTCAAATAAACATATGAAAAGGAGTTTAACTTTTAAATATATCATGGAAAAGCCAATCAAAATCACAGTATGGTAGAACCACACATTCATGAAATGTGTAAAATTAAAAAGACAAAATCCGGTGTTGACAAAGGTACAAAACAACTTAAACTCTCATACGTGATAGGGATGAAATGCTAACAAGGATATTTGAGTAAATAATGAACTGGGTTCAAAAGTGGAGGGTAGTGAATATTTGGATATCTTTTCTTGCATTCTGTAGTCATACCTAAATATTTTTAAGAATTATTTATCCTTGTATCTTTGACCTATATATTGATTAGTATATAATGCAAATTTGATGATGGTTTTTTTTTAAACCTGATGTATTTTATTTCTTTAGTTTAACATATTGGTTAAACTCTAGATAAATCTAAGTTCAATTCTAGGCTTCGGTGCTTAAAAGTTGTATGAGCTTGAGGAAGTTGTTTGGTCTCCCCAAATCTTGGTTTTGATATCTTTAAAATGAAGTACTTTAAAATAGTACTTCCCTCACCGAGAAGAATAACAGAGGTATTATATACAAAGTGTCCATGTTTATGTACCAAATGACATCTTTTGTCAGATAAGATTCCAAGGGGAGGACTAAAGAGTGCTTTCCATGACTACAGTAAGGAACTGATTCTGCACGTGGAGACAAGGCACACCAAAGTGCTCATGTGAGAGACGAGAGAGCTGCAGCAGCAGGTCAAAGGGAGGAGTTTACAGAATCGTTTCCATAGAAATAATAACTCCATAGAAATCAGTTGAAGAGTTTTTCAAGACTATATCTAAGCAAGACTCCTAGCAAAGAAAGAGTCAGAGAAACAAAGAACTATTTTCTGGAGGAGGCATTTCAGATAAAAAGGAGTGTGGAAAGAGGAAGTTAGAACAGAAGAGGGTACAGACCAACTGAAAAATTCCCTTCTTAAACACACTGGTTAGGGTTGTCATCAACTCCTTAGCAAAGAGGAATTGGAGATGAGATCAAAGCTACTGCTTACCTTTTATAACTCCACCAACGAAGACACATTAGTAATCTGTACGCAGACATAAAATAGGACCACAGATAGACATATGCTTCCCAATATCAAGAGAGGAAGGAAGTCTGTGTCCTTAATAAACTGTTAAAACATACGAAATTAGCTACAGAATTGAAATTGTGAACCATGAGTGACAATGCTATGTATTCTCACACATTTTTTCATAAAAGTAAAATTAAAAACAAAAGAAATGAATAAGCATTTGAAAATTTTGGACAGAGTTGGCAAGATCTGAAGTGGGAGAGAAGGAAATATACTCTCACACTATGCTTCTATGATTTCTGTATTTCAATGACCAGTACACTGTCCCATACTCCAACATTCCTCTCTACCCAAATAGGAACTGATATAAAGTTGCCAACTTCTTGTTTTACCAAGTAATGACATTTAAAAACAATCACTTCACCACTTATTATATCCATCATTTCTCAAAAGAACAAACTGATACCAACAACATAAGATAGCTATGACCTCAAGGGCAGAGTGCTTTATGAAGAACTCACTGCATTGTGCTTATTTTCCTCACTTTGTTGCTGGTATGTGAAAATCTCTCTGTGGACTGGAATTGATTCATGGACCAAGATTTCAAACCCACTTCTCCAATGCACTCTGGTGTTCTGCCATCGTGGATGAAGGCACCTACACCATCAACTTAAACATTTTACTCCTATACAAATGTATATGGGCTTCTTATTATACAAAGTGGGCTATGTCAATCTCAACAAACTCCTTAGTAATCTTAACAAACTTTAACCTTTACAGGCATTGACATATATATCAATATTGGCTCTATCTGATTATTAGAGTCAAGATTCCCTTTAGATGTGTTAGAAATAATATTAACATTGATTTAAACCTTAATATATCATTTATAATGTTGAATTGTAATTTTTGTTGGAATGCTTATCTCCCTTCCTAGCCAGTAAACCTTTGAAGGCGGGAACTAGTTTTCCCCATCTTGGTACACTTAAAGCTAAATCAATATTTGGTACATTGTGAGCCCTTATAAGTATTTGTCGAATGATCAAACAAATGGCTCTAGTCAGGTTATGTTTCCCAAAATATCATAATTATACATAGTATAATTAAGATACTATTTTATGGTTTATTGATGGAAGTATGAATTGGATCTGTACTTCAACACTCCTTTATTCATTCCTCAGACATATATGAACCCCTTACTATATGCCTTCACTGTGCATACTGCTCAGGATAATGGAAATGAGTAGAATGTAGTTCCTGCTTTTAAGGATGTCAATAATAGTTTCATACTGGAGCTTGTATGATCCTTTAGCTTGTATAGTCCCTTATAGAAACATAGCCAATTTCTTGAATGATATAAATAATCTAATCATCTGAAATCTTTTTTTGAGACAGAGTCTCACTCTTTTCCCCCGGGCTACAGTGAGTGCCGTGGCGTCAGCCTAGCGCACAGCAACCTCAAACTCCTGGGCTCAAGCGATCCTTCTGCCTCAGCCTCCCGAGTAGCTGGGACTACAGGCATGCGCCACCATGCCCGGCTAATTTTTTCTATATATTTTTAGTTGTCTGATTCATTTCTTTCTATTTTTAGTAGAGACGGGGTCTCGCTCCTGCTCAGGCTGGTTTCGAACTCCTGAGCTCAAAGGATCCGCCCGCCTGGGCCTCCCAGAGTGATAGGATTACAGGCGTGAGCCACCGCGCCCGGCCTCTGAAATCTTAATAGAGTAAAAATACTTGCTCTGATATGTTTTTCTTAGAGTAAAACCTGTTTATCACCATAAATAGCAATACCCACTCTATTTATGTGAGAATCCTCCTCTCTAAAAAATTACAACCACTATCCCCATGACACGGTTTGCTTGTATTGGAGCCTCAGCCTCAACCACTTTAAATGAAACAATAAATCTGCTTACTATTGCAAGTCTTGTTGTATTTGCTGTTCTCCTGGGCAAACCCTTCCAGCCGGCACTGAAAACGATGCTGCCAAAATTCTTGAAACCAAGGGTTTCGGAGGTTTGTTTCTGGCCGGAGCTTCAGATAATAATCATCAAACCACTTGACATCGGGAGATTGGAGCTTGATTGTAATTCCACCAACAGCTTCTCGCTGATATCCATCTGTCACGTCATACCTGTCGGCCCAGCCATCACTGTGGGGAAGCAAAAAAAACCCACAGCTTAGAACAGGTATCTTTTAAGCAGATGAGTACATTTGTTTTCTTTTTGAAAAGGTTAGTCATTAATGGCTACTTCAGCCACAGGATGGTCCTGCATTACACCTAGGTGATTATTGTTATAGCAGCTTGTTAGAATAAAAAGTGCAATAACACCACAGAAATTTTGGGTTGAAGAGTGCTAGAAGGCACTAACCTCATTACCTTGAACTGCAGAGAATAAACTAGAGCTTTTGGCAAAATTTTACTGATTACAAAATACAGTATATGCATGCAAGCTACATAATATCATCATTCACACTATTTAATGGACATTTAATAGCTAGGTCAAGTTACATTTTTTCTTTTACTTTATAATAATCATTATAATCATCATAAAATAAAAATGAAAAAATATTTCCAAAACATGCCTAATGTTAATTTAATCAACCTATGGCATGATATTTATTTTTGTTTACATTTTACAAGTGAATAATACAGAGGTTTAAAAAAAATCTTGCTGATTATGGTCATTCTATTAAATGTTGATTTTTCAGAGCTTCCAACTGAAATATTTGTAGGCAAGAAAGTCTTCCAGGAGACTGTAGATTTGAATTAGGTCTTGAGGCTGAAATAAAAGCTTCTGCACAGCCAAGGAAACTATCATGAGAGCAAACAGACAGCCTACAGAATGGGAGAAAATATTCACATGTTACACATCTGATAAAGGGCTGATAATTAGAATCTATATAGAACTCAGGAAAATCAGCAAGAAAAAATCAACCCCATTAAAAAGTGGGCAAAGGACATGAACAGAAATTTTTCAAAAGAAGACAGACTAATGGCCAACAAACTAATGGCCATATGAAAAAATGCTCAACATCTCTAATCATCAGGAAAATGCAAATCAAAACCACGATAAGATATCAGTTAACACCAGTGAGAATGGCCTTTATCAAAAAGTCCCAAAACAATAAATGTTGGCATGGATGCAGAGAGATAGGAACACTCATACACTGCTGGTGGGACTGCAAACTAGTACAACCTCTGTGGAAAGCAATATGGAGATACCTCAAAGAGCTACAAGGAGAACTACCATTTGATCCGGCAGTCACAGTACTGGGCAAACATGAAATCACATTTTATATCAGAGTGCCTGAAAGAATTTCTTAACAATGGAACATCAAGGATGGTGACAGGGATGATACTTCTCAACATTACTATCCATTCTATGCACCGATCAGTCAAAGTAATCTAGGAATTTTAAAATAAAAGAGTTTGAAATGAGAGAGTTCATATTATAAGAGTATATATCAGAATAAGAAAAAGTATTCTAAGGTTATTTGGAAAATACATGAAACAAAACATTGGAAATCAAAATAAAACATATGAAAAGATGTTCATACCAGATTTCGGTGCACCTTAGAATATCCAGGAAGAAGGAGACTCTGACTTGTCCCTTCTCACTGGCATTGGAATATACACAGTTTGTGCTGTGTGTCTGCTGGGACCCAGTGGTACTATCCTTCCATTGAAGAGGTGCAAGTGTTTGTTAAAGAAATATAAAGAAAGTCAAGGGAAAATTTGACATTAAAAATAAGTAACACCAAAGAGGGAAGAGAAAGACTACAGAGATTGAGGGGAAGGGCAGAATGGAGCCTCTTGAAGGCAAAACAGGAGAAGTGTTTGGGGTAAGCCAAGGGTAGGAAGCAGTGGACACTGGGAAAAGGTGAGGGAAGAGATTCACATCACAAATCACTGCTTATTTCATTGATATTCACATATTTTTATATAACACAATGTTCATTTCTTTTTATCTTCCTTTGAACAAATTTTTGTCCATAACATTTTTTTTTCTAGCCAGAGAGCATGATCCAATATTTTGCATATAAAACCAGTGCCAGGGAAAGTATTATGTAAGTAATTAATTAAAATAATACAAAAAGCATGCACTTTTTTTTTTCTCATTACATTCTGCTTTACCAATTGTGACTTAAACATTGATAAATGGGAGTTGTTCCAAAGGTCATAGATTACTCATTAAGATATCATAGGGGCTTGAGATGACTTGAGATATTTCCTTAAACACCAGTGAATGGGTGGAAGAGGAGGAAAAAACAAACAAAACGAACCTTTTCTTTCTCTAAATTCTCTTTGACAAGAAGATATTTCATTAAAAATTTTCTATGGTGAAATTTCAAAAACTTTTGTGGCAGATCAAGGAAAAAAAATAAAAAGTAATATAGTATGTTTTGTCCTGATGTTGAATTTGGTTATTTCACACATTATCTTCCCTCAAGTTTCTCATTTTCAGCTCCAGAAGATTTTATTTAAAGCTGACAAGTTGAAATGAAGTGGGCTTGTTTGCCTCATTTTCTCCTCTGTTTTGGAGGGTTTATTTTATCACTGATATGAGAGTGTGGGTCTCACTGTGACTCGAGAAGATGCATGGGCGTGCTGCAAATGGGACAGGAAGCTCTGTTTGTCAAGCAGAGCCCCATTCGCCAAGGAAGTGAGAATTTAAATTGCTCCTTTTGTTAATGTTAACTCTCTGTTATATAATACTATGATTATGAATATTACATAAGAACTGTAAGATTATAATGGGTCCAATTTACCCTTCACAATTCATTCATTGAATTTAATGGAGATTGTAAAAAGCTTGTCTTGATAAACTTTTTTGCAGGTAATATTTCCATAAAAGAAAAGTGTCAGGACCAGAGAGTGATAATTTACTCCTCTCTCGTCATATTTGTTTTCTCTCTTTTTTTTAGGTATAAATCTTTTCTGTAAGTTTAAGAATTTAGAAGAAGATGTTCTTTTAGTAGTCTAAAAATTAGGGTTGTGAGTTTAAGATAATTTTTGCTCCAGATATTTCTAATGAACCACAAAATAAAAATCATAAAGGAGTTAGTTTGGAAATAGAATATATCTCAACATCTGTATGATAAAATAGGATTATTCTATTAAAATTTATTGGAGAATATTTGTGATGTAAGTCCCAAGAAAAGTTATTCAATGCTGGCAAAATTAGAGGGTACTCTATTGACTTTCTGTTATTAAATATTAACATTTTCATGAATATGTGCTTTTAAAATTTGTGTTAAGATGATAGGGCATCTCTAAGTATGCTTGTAATAAATCCAACAGTAAAATGAAATGCTAAGAAAAACTCGAGGTTACCTACCATCTAATGCTTTCCATTACTTTGATAAATGGACCTTCAAGATTCTGGCACCACTTTAATACTTTGGGTGACATATATTTTACCAAAGCAAGGGAAAACAAGAGGAGGACGAAAGGGAAAGCAATTAACATTTATTGAAAACCTACCACATTTAAGGCACTTTTCTAGATTTAATCAATCCATCCATCCATCCATCCATCCAATCTAATTTCTCTCTCTTCTCACTGGTAGGCATTTTGCCTGACACATCATAATCCAGTTCATTCTTTTGTTTCTGATCGTTTGGATATACAACTGATCATCATTATTTACAGAGTCTGTATTTGCAAATTCAAGTACGTGTTAAAATTTATTGACAGCACCAAAATCAATTCTGATGGCATTTTTTCAGTCATTCACAGATATGCACAGAGTGGAGAAATTTGAGTCTTTTGACATTATGTGTCCCCATCGGAGGTTGAACAAGATGACGCTTTGCCTTCTTGCTGCAGTTTTCATGTTATAAAAAAATGTCCTTTTCACTATCTATTTAGTGTCAAGTTTTTATATTTTTGCATTTTTTCTTAGTGATTTTGCTATTTTACTTGACCTCCAAGAGTAGTGCTGATGTGTTATCTAGTATTCCCAAGCACAATAAGGCTGTAATGTATGTAGAAAATCTAGTCGGCCCTCTGTATCCATGGGTTTGAATTCACAGATTTAGTGAATTGAAAATCAAAAATATGTGGGGAAAAAACATAATATAACAACAGAAAATATATAAATAAAAACAATATAATGGCTATTTACATAACATTTGCATTGTAGTAATCTAGAGGTGATCTAAAGTATATGGGAAAATGTGTGTAGGTTATGTGTTATGTGCAGACACTAAGCCGTTTTATATCAGGGACTTAAGCATCCTCAGATTTTGGTATGAAGGGAAGGGGGTGTCCTGGAACCAATCTGCACATACTGAGAGACCAGGGATGACTATATGCATAGAAAATACATATGTTAGGTAAGCTGCAGTCAGCCATGAATAAAATACTATTTGCTGTGAGTTCAACCTTAATGAATCACAATATATATCAAATAAGGTATTTTTATACAGGAACGCACATAACGCGAGGTTATATATTGACTACTTGATGAAAATGTGACTAGAGGCTTATAGCACACCTAAACTTGCATTTTCTCTAGGAGCAATGGTCAGTATTACTAATTTAGTGCATGTTTATGTAATATTACTGTGAATAATGAGAATTGACTATATGTACATAGAGTCTTAACCTGTCTGCTGTTTTAGTCAGGCTTCTAGTCTTTCTTTGGCTATAGAAACAAAGTAACTTGGACATTTGAAATAGGAAAAACATTCTTTTTTTTTTTTTTTCTGATACAGACTCTTACTGTGTTGCCGGGGCTAGAGTGCCGTGGCATCATCCTAGCTCACAGCAACCTCAAACTCCTGGGCTCAAGCGATCCTCCTGCCTCAGCCTCCCGAGTAGCTGGGACTACAGGCATGCACCACCATGCCCGGCTAATTTTTTCTGTATATTTTTAGTTGTCCAATTAATTTCTTTCTATTTTTAGTAGAGACAGGATCTCGCTCTTGCTCAGGCTGGTTTCGAACTTCTGAGCTGAAACAATCCGCCCGCCTCGGCTTCCCAGAGAGCTAGGATTACAGGCGTGAGCCACTGTGCCCGGCCAGGAAAAACATTCTTAATTTACTTAATTTGGCTTAACTGAGGATGGAATCTTTATACATATGTACCTGATTCTCAAAACACCTCACCAATAGATACTCAGATTTTTCCCTGCAGACATTTTA